CCCTTCAGTCCTGAGACGGGCCCCTTCCCCGACAGCTGGCCCTTCAGCCCTGAGACGGGCCCATTCCCTGATGGGCCTTTAGCCCTGAGACAGGCCCCTTCCCCGACAAGCCAGTTTCCTCTGTTCACATGTGGGTGTTTGTGCCTTTTTAAAAAAGGAAAATAAAAGACCACACTCTTTAGGAATCCAAACCAGACAGGCTAACAAGACAGGACAAACCCTGGCTCGGGGCAAGGTTGAGGCAGGGGAGGGCGAGACCTTCCTGGAGACCAGATGGGGCAGGGGGTGGGGGGCTCAGTTCTTGGCACCTGTATTCATGGTGGGTGGCGTCCCTCAGCCTTTGAAACTGTAGCAACTGCCTATGGCCCCCTCCCCCGCATCTCAGGCCTCCCACTGCATGCCAGGCCCCACCCCCGCCGCCCCGAGTCTCACGCCTCCCCTCGGTGTCCCAAGCCTCTGTGTCCCAGGGCTCCCACACACCCGAGTCTCAGGCCTCCTCCCTGCCCCACCCCCCGCCCCGTCCCAGGCCTCTCCTGAGTTCCAGGCCTCCCACCCCCACACCACGTCCCAGGCTTCCCACCCCCCGGCTGCATCCCAGGCTTCCCCACTGCATCCTAGGCCTCCACCCCTGCGTTCCCCCAGGCCTCCCCCCGCTGTGCCTACCCTGCACCCCGCTGCCAGCCTCTTCTGCGTTCGGAGCCTGTGGCTGGCTTGGCGGTGGCGAGCCCTTGATGGCTGTGTGGACCCTGGAGGCTGAGGGAGGAACCTGCTCCGTGGTGGGCAGCACCCCCTGTCTCCCGGGTCCAGGGCCCTCGTGGCTGCCCTGGCTCTGCAGGACGGCGCCATTGGGGGACAGCAGGTCCTCTGGAGGTGCGGGGTTCTGAGCTGTTCGCCTAGGCCTCAGGAGTAGGCAGGCCGTGATGACAGGAGTGGCTGTGTGCGGGCTGCCTGTGGCTGCAGCTTCCAGCGGGCATTTCCAGTGCCCTGGCCAGACGGCCGGCCAGCGGGGGCCGTGGCAGCACTGCAGCCTTCAGAGGACACCCATTTTCTCATCGGGTTACAGGGGATAGAGCAGGGCATCAACCCCAGATCAAGCCACACAGACTGGGGCAGGCTGTGATGATGCCCAGCCCAGCAGCGGGGCCAGCCTGGCTTCCAGGAACGGAGCCCATTCGCCCACCTGTTCTCATCACTAAGAGCAAGAGAAAGGATCCCACAGGCTCTGGGCCTGAGGACATGGCTGGGTGGCTGCATTGTGTGGTGCCACCTTTCTGGAATCCCACGGGGTTGGTGAGCCACGTTCTTCCCCAGCTCCCTGCTGGCCTTTGCAGGGATGATGTGCTTGTCTGCACGGGGTTCACTGAGGGAGCTGGGATTTTTTGTGGGAGCTAGGGTTCCCCGAGGGAGCTGGGGTTCACGTTGCTCTTGCTGAGTCGAGTGAGGAACCATGACGCGGCTGTGGAGGACCTTCCGTTTCTGCACTCCGTGGCAGGAACGCTCAGAGGGGAAGGCGATGGGATTTGAAGGCTGCTTCCTCTGTGAAATCTGACTAGGGGGTTGATCTCCAGCCTCAAGGCAGTAGGGTGATGGGACCTCAGACTAGGGCACTCGCCTGTGTCACCCAGGTTCCCTGCACCCCAATAAGGGGCCTCACCTGTCCTGTCGGCTCTGCTTGATCAGGGCCGTGGGCCCTCTTCCTCCTCAGCTTGGCTCCTCTCCGTGTGAGCTTCGTCACGTGCCTCCCAGCCGCCCCATCAGAGCCAAGCGGTCCCTGCCTCCCTGCAGACCCCAAGGTCCCTCATGACCACGTGGGTCCTCCGTCTCTAACCGGCTGGGGGCTGCACTCCCCCCAGGAGGAGCCGAGGAAAACTGCCAAGTGCTGCTCCTCCCGCCTCAGCTTCTCTGCTCCCACCACCGGAGGGGAAGAGGCCACCCTGACCCTGGTCCACACTGCTCATGGCACCGCCTGGGCACACAGACTCCTGGACGTGGCCATTTACCCGGAGCTGGGCAGGGGCTGGGGAGGAGGCCTGGATCCCTGGCTACACTGCTGGCAGGACTTGGGCGACACCAGGGTGCTCTCTCAGACTGCAGGCACATGCTGAGTGTGCTTGCCTGTGTGTGTGCGTGAGTGTGCATGAGCACCTGTGAGTGGTCATGTGAGCAGGCATGGCAGAGCTGGATATGTGCACGTGTATGTGTTGATGTGTGAGCATGTGTGAGCTTGTGAGTGACTTCACATGTGACACACGGCATATTGAGCATTCATAGGCACATGTATATGTGCTGTGTGTGCATGTGTAAACTTGTGTATGTGAGTATTCACGTGTGACATGCATGGCATAGCTGGGCACGCATATGGATGTGTATGTGTGTGCGTGTGTGAGCATGTATGTATTCACATGTGACATGGATACAATAGCTGGCATGCATATGGACATGTGTGTGTGAGCATGTGTGTACGTGTGAGCTTGTGGTGTGTGTATTCACATGTGACATGGATGGCATAGCTGAGCATGTGTATGCATGTGTATATGTGTGTTCATGTGTATGCATGTGTGTGTGAGCCTGTGTGTGTGAACTTGTGTGAGTATTCACATGTGACATGGATGGCGCAGCTGAGCATGTGTATGTGCATGTGTGTTCATGTGTGAGCTTGTGTATTCGTGTGACACAGATGGCATAGCTGAGCATGCATATGTATGTTCATGTGTGAGCATGTATGTGCATGTGTGATCGTGTGTGTGCATGTGTGATCGTGTGTGCGTGTGAGTATTCACATGTGACACAGATGGCAGAGCTGGGCATGACGTGCATATGTTCATGTTTGAGCAGGTGTGTGTATGCATGTGTGGTGTAAGCAGGTGTTTTTGTGTGAGCACATGTGCATGTGAGTGACGTGTGTGAGGAGGCTCACGTAGTAGCCACCCTTGCCAGGTGCTTCCTGGTGGGAACCGGATCCCAGGGGCTGAGCTGCACTGGCTGGGATTTCCAGGAGAAGGCTGAACGCGTGCTGCTGCTGAGGAGCTTGGAGGAGAGAACCCCGGATGATGGACAGGAGTCTCTCAAAGCACCTGAAGGTGGAGGGTCCTGGACAGTGGGCTGGAAGGGTGAGGTTGGGAGTTGGGGGCAGGTGAAGGGTGGAGGGAGCTGGGCACCCTGCAGATGCCAGGGTGGCACTTGGTGCAGTGGGGCTGCCGCCATCCTCCCAAGTGTGGCCCCAAGGGCTGGAGCTGCTGTCCTCCGCTGCCAGCCATCATCAGTCCCTTGCACCTGACTCTGCCTAGGAGCTGTATGTTGGGGGCGTGAATGCAGGGTCAGCCCAGCTGGCCAGTGACCCTCTGAGCACAGAGCTTTTGGGAAGGGGGCTGGGGGCATCCCCCACAGGTGGAGCCCAGAGTTCTCTCCCTGAGATGTGACGGGGGCGAGGGGGGCGGTGTCTGGAATTTTTGTTCGGAGACTTTCCGGAGGTGTGTTTAGGCACAAAATCCCATCAGCACAGTTGGTTTCCAAGCAAGGAGACTGTTCTCTGGGCATCTCTAAGATGAGTTTGAGCAGTGTGGGGATTCGTTTTGGGAGCCAGGCCTCGCTGAGACGACGTTTGCTTGTGGAATGCCAGTGCCTGCCCTCGAGAAGACGCTGCGCTCAGCTGCTTGAAGCCAGTCAGGGTCCGACGCAGCCCAGCCCTGCCCTGGGGACAGTTGTCTGACGGCTGCTGGGCATCCTGCCCTGGGGACAGTGGGGACAGCTCAGGACAGGTTGTGGGCCTGTGGCATCACAGCTGCTATCACTGCTCCTGACCCCAGCCCTAGGGGAGGGTGGCTGCGACACGTCACACAGCCCGGACGGGGCAGGGTGACGAGGGACTCTGGCTGGGGGAGTGGGCATGCAGAGCCCTCAGGAGGTAGACTGTGTGGTGAAAACTGTGGGCTAGTGCGTGTGAGGATGTGCACACATGTGAACATGTGTGTGTGAGCATGTGTGTGGTAATGTGTGTGCATGAATGTGAGTGATCACACCTGTGTGGGCTGCCTGGTTTCCCTCTGGCTCCACCTATAATGGCCTCCATGATCATGAGCTAGGTCCACAGGCTTGTGCCTCAGTTTCTTCATCTGGAAAATGGGCCGCACGTAGGTCCTCAGAGGGCATAGGGCACACAGCACCCACTGCTGTGCAGCCACCCACATGTCACAGCCCCGTGGGTCGCTCACTCTTGGACTCTGTCTAATCAGATCCTTTTGTGGACGGGGAGACTGAGGCAGGGAAGGAGGATGCCATGGTCCCGGCCCGTGCGCTGAGCGTGGCCAGAAGGCAGCATTCCTGCCCCGTCCCCGTTCCCGGGCTCTACTGTTGCCGGTCTCCTGGGCAGAAGGACAGGAAGGGCTGAAAGGGACATAGTCCCAGGCAGGTAAAGCCCAGGCTTCAAGGGGAGGCACAGCCGCTGAGAGGCTCCAAGCCCCTCCCCGGGATGTTAGAACTCGGGCAGCCGTTGCAACAGTGGAATTGGCATCGCAACAAGCTGAGCATTTGTTCAGTTCCAAGTTTACCATAGGCACAATAACTCCATGCCAGGCATCTCTGGGCATTCCGGGTCAGAGGGGGAGCAGGGGCTGGGGGCCACTGCCTCGGTGCCCCTGGGATGGGGTCCTGGCCTGGAACCCCCTCCAGAGACTCAGCAGCCCTGCCCAGCAATGCCTAGCGGAGCACGTTAGAACCGTGTGGACACTGAACACAGTGCCTCTCTGTCCTCATGGGGCCCAGGGCTGCTGCGGGGCCATGAGGAGGAAGGTGCGAACCCTCGGGTGCTGGAATCCTCGGGTGCTGCGCACCTTGATTCCAAGGCTGGTGCCTTTTTTTCTTCTGCAAGAGTGAAGGGTGGGAGACGAGCCACCCAGAGGCTGGGAAGCCTGCCTGGGGCGGGGAGGGCAGGAGGGAGGGAGCCTGGCTGGCTCCACCTCCAGGCACAGAGGCCTTCCGCCGCCCTCAGCTCCAGCTGCACAGCCCCAATGGCTCCCGACCCCAGCGGCCGCTGCATCCTGCTGCTGCTCTTGGGCTGCGTGGTGGCTGCCCAGGCCGACCTGCTGGACCTGAGCTGGCTATGGCCCAGTAAGGACACCAGCCACACAGCTGCCACAGTCCCCAAGCCCACAGCAGGCCCCACCACGCATGTGGCCCCGCAGAATGGTTCCACGGAGCCAGAGACAGTCCCTGGCAACCCTAAGCCATCCTCAGAGCTGCTGGAGGGTGGCCAGGACACCCCGACTTCTGCTGAGAGCCCCGACACACCGGAGGAGGACATTGCCGGCGTTGGAGCCGAGATCCTGAGTGTGGCCGAAGGCATCCGGAGCTTTGTCCAGCTGTGGAATGACACTACTCCCACTGAGAGCGTGGCCAGGGCGGAAGCGCTGGCCCTTGAGACTCCCGTGGACCCCCTCGCCCTCCCTGGGCCCTCTGATGCCCCCTGGGAGAATGGGACCGCTCTCTGGCCTGGTCGTGGTACTCTGAGCTCTCCAGGCCCCCACACGACCAAGGCTAGCACCCTGCCTGCACCCACCCTCTCGCCTCCCTCCCTGGGCAGGCCCCTGGCACTACTCACGGGGCCCCCAGGGCAGCTGCCGTCCTCAGGTAGAGCTTCTCTCTCCTCCTCGCTGGGCAGGGCGCCTCCCTGGGGAAGCCTCTTGGATCTGGATGACCCAGGACTCTGGCCCGCCGCCTCTGCTCCCGGCCCGCAGCTCCGAGGCCCTGACGTCCGCCCACGCACGCCTCTTCTGCATCCCCTGGTGACGGGTTTCCTGGGCCACGCGGCCCCCTCTGCCTTCTCCTCTGGCCTTCCGGGCGCACTGTCCCAGGTCACAATCACCACTTTAATCTGGGACAGCGGTGCTTGGGTCTCTCATGCGGCTGACTCTGTGGGGCCTGGTCTCACTAATCACTCTGCCCTGCTGGGAGCGGACCCCGAGGCCCCCTCCGGCCGCTGCCTGCCCCTGCCGACCTTTCTAACGGTCTGCGGACGCCTGGGCTTCTCGCGTTCCTGGCTGCCCAACCACCTCCACCACAAGAACGGCGAGCAGGTGCGGGCCGCAGCACGGGCGTGGGGGGGCCTGCTGCGGACGCACTGCCACCCCTTCCTTGCCTGGTTCTTCTGCCTGCTGCTGGCACCCCCCTGCGGCAGGGTCCCGCTGCCCGCCCCCCCGCCCTGCCGCCAGTTCTGCGAGGTCCTGCAGGACGCATGCTGGAGCCGCCTGGGGGTGGGCCGGCTGCCTATTGCCTGTGCCTTGCTCCCAACCCAGGAGGACGGGTACTGTGTGTTCATTGGGCCGGCTGCAGGTAACTGGCCGGCCCCGCCTCCCCACCCTTTCCTTTTGTCTTGCCAGGTAAGCTCGGTCGGGGCTGGCGTGAGCCTGGTACAGGCTCCCCCCACACCGAGTCTCTGCATTCAGGGCCTGCGGCCGTCAGGAGGTGGGAGAGCTGGGAGGGGGGCTCCCGTCTGGGGAGGAGGCTGGGGTCCAGACAGGAAGAGACCTGGAGGAACTGCCACTAACGTGCCTGGGCCAGCGGCTCCCTGGGTGTTTTAGTGCATTTAGTCCTCACCATGGTCCCGAGATACCTGCAGCCCCAAGTCACAGAGGGGAAACTGAGGCATGGGGCAGTGGCAGGACTCGCCCCAGGAAGCCGAGATTCCCGCCCAGGTGTGGCTGCGTCGTCCTTCCCCCTAAGCTTACAGTCGGATGCGCTTCCTGGGAGCCCCGGCGTGCTCAGGCTGTGTGCGCTGCTGCGTGGCAGTGCGGAGATGCTCACAGTGCGGGGAGGGAAGTCCAAAAGGCCTGTCCTGGGAGGGAGCCTTCCACGTCCCCCTCCCCAGCCTGGAGCACACCACCTCCTGCTGCAGTTGGGGCTGCTCCTGGGCCTGTGGAAACCTGCCCCATCACCACGTGGCCTGGCCCTGTTGCTTAAAGATTGTTTGGGGAGCAGGAAGAGGTGGGAAGGGGGACTGTCTTTAACCTCCCCAGGGGCAGGGGCAGCCCAGGAAGGACCCCAGCAGCTTCCTCCTCTGTGTTCAGAGGTGGACGGGGCCCCTGAGCTGTGCCTGCCCCATTTAGACTTTGCCTGCTGTGTGCACCCGGCAGCCTTGGCCAGGAGGGGCCACCCGGAGGCTGCGTCCCTGCAGGGTGAGGGGCTCCGTCTTCTGCTGTCCTTCCCGTGGTGCTGAGGGGAAGCGGCCTTGGTCCTTGCCCTTTGAGCTTTGGGACCAGGTTGGTGGGGGCTGTTGGTGGCTGTGCCAGACTCCCAGGTGGGGGTGCCTGTGGTGGAAATGTTGGTGGACATCCACCTGCCAGGCTCCGTGAGGGATGATTCCCCTGGAGTTTCAGTTCAGCGGCCGTTTCTGTCAGCAAAGCTCAGAGCCTCTACAGACCCAGTGCAGGGTCTACGATGTGGCCGGGCAGCCACGGATAGGGGAAGGACAAGTATTGACAGCAGGTGGTCCCAACCCACGTGGGCTGGAATGGAGGGGGAGGCAGTGGGGAGGACTCCGCAGGGTCAGGGCTAAGCCCTGAGGAGGGTCATAGGCACTGCTCTGGGGGGGCCTGGTGTGTGCAGGTATGGGGGCCCTGGTAGATGTGCCCCAAAAGCTTGGGGCTGGAGCTCTCCTGAGGCAGGGGGAGGTAGGGGCTGTGCCCGAAGCTTAGATGTCACCCCCAGGGCAGCTGGCACTGCCGCAAGCAGGCAGATTCCCGCGTCCTTCTCATGGTCCGTCCCTGCAACACCCAAACTAAGCAAGCAACAGCTGCCTCGCAAGGTCCCTCCTGCCCCACGGCCGCAACCCACCTGGTGGCCAAGCCCTGTTCCCCACCGAGCATGGGGGGTGGCAACCCTGCCCCTGCAGGAGCCGTCCTACCTGGAGGGGAGGGCCAGTGTCACGGAGCCCTAGCAGGCTCGAGCATAGCCCACTTCGTGCTGTGCAAGCCCACAGAGGTGGACAGGCCAGTGGCCGGCTGGGAGGGGAGACGCCAGGCCTGTTCACCTGACCCTGCCCTGGCCTTGCCCACTGAGACTATGGGATCACTCTGAACAAGAGCCGGCCTCAGGAGGGTGGCGGTCTCCTGGCGTCATGCTCAACTTTGTGGCTTGGGGGCTGGGGTCCGAGTGGGCTGTGAGGGCGAGGAATTTCTGTAACCGCAGCTGGCCCGGTTGGTGGCGTGGCCTGAAGGGGACTTTTCACTGAACATCTGGACAACTTGGCCAGGCCCCTGTTTGCGGGAGGCCATATCCCAGGCAGGGTCCTGGGTACTTGTCCATCTGTGTTCATGGCCCACCTGGCCTCTGTCCAGAGGTGAGCCTTGGGCCTCAGCAGGGAGCCCCTTCCCAGGTGTGGCCTGGACAGGAAGGTCCTGCTCCCTCTTCTGGCCTCTCAGCTCATCCCCAGCCTAGGCTTCTTTCTGCGGTGAGCCCTCCTGCTGGGCCCCCGTGTTGGGCTACACACCCAGCCCTGGGCGAGGGGCAGGAGGAGGAGGAGGAGCCCAGCCTCCCATGTTGGTGCCTGACCCCTCACGGCTGGCTGTGAGGCCCTGAAACTGGGGGTGCTGGGCTGTGAACATGGAGGCCTCAGTGGCATGTCCAGGCCCCAGGGTCAGGAAGGACATGCCCCCAAGGGGAGAGAATCGGGAGGCCCTGCTGCCTCCAGCCCTGCTCCATCTCCGGCTCCCCCTCCACCTGGTCTGGATACTACACTGAGTGTCCACCCCACTGCTGCCCCGCCTCCAGAAGAGCATGGGGTGCGGCTGTGCTGGAGCGTGGGGGGTGCTCAAAGGGAGGGTGCACCCGTGGCCAGCACACAGGCAGGGACCCTGTGGAGGGTTTTACTGTGTCATGGGCTTGTCCCTCAGGCCCACAAGAAGGGGAGTGAGGCCCCCACACAGGAGAGGGAGGCTCTCCTTCCTGCACCTGCCAAGGGTGAGTGAGCAGGGTTTGGACTTGGGCTACCCAGGACACTGCCTCCAGGAAGCTCCTGGGCTGTCCCCGTGGGGCTCTGTGACTGACAGAACTCAGGTCACGAGGGCTGTGGGAGCGTCACCACACCACAGCAATGGGTGCTGGCGCTCTGTACTTTGCTCTCTACGCCCCTCCTGAGCCCTCCCAAACCCCTCCTGGCCCCTGGGACCATGGCAGAGGTGAATGGTATTTCTAAGGAATCCTACAGACGGGCGGCCTCTGACCTGGGAGGTGGGTATTGTCCCTGTTTACAGGTGAGAAGCTGAGGTCTAGGAAGGGCAGATTCACCTGCGTGCCGCAAGTGTGGCTAGCAGGAAGCGAGCCTCGAGGAGGGTCCGGTGGCCTGGCCCTGGAGCGCTCTTCAGCATCGCAGCTGATGCAGGGCTAGGAAGCCCCCAGCCAGGGGCACCCGGAGACCAGCAGGTGCCTACCCTCATGGTGCAGGCCGTCTGATGAGGGGCAGGGGCCGGTGCTGGGATGGACAGTGTCTGTGCACAGAGTGGGGATCAACGGGGCCCAGCTGCTACTAGGATGCTCGGGAGGCAGGTCTACACACGCCGGCCAGGTCGCTCCTCTCAGATGCACAAGCCTCATGATCTTGGCAAGTGGCGCACAGGCCCTGGGCTGGGGCTTCTGTGCTCCCCTGTCTCCACCCCATCACTGGATGTTTGGAGGTCAGTGGGAGGCCACGGCAGCCACAGGAGCACACGTGGTCACATCACCATGATGGCCCTGAGGGGCTGTTTCTTCATAGCTGCTCCCTACCTCGTGGGCCCGCCACTGGCACACAGGTGTCTGTACACGGTGCTTACCTCTTGCTCTTTTAATGAAATGTAGAACTTGAGAAAATGTTCCTGTACCTTAAAACGCTTCAATTTACTTGACGTTTCCACATAACTTTGGTTGAAGGAGAGAAGACCAGTCCGTGGAGAACAACATGCTTCTCTCTCACCGCTTGGCACCTTACAGGTCTTTTTTGATGATGCAGGCTAAGCTTCTCATAGATTTTCCATGCCTCCCAGATGCACCAAGAGTGACTCAGCATTGAACTGCTGCTGTAGTGTCCAGGGCCCACCTGTGCCTGTTGGGTGCCGTTGTCTGTGGGTTCAAGATCTTGTGTGATCCTGAACCAGACACAGAACGAAAAGCACAGCATTCCAAATGGGGCTCCCTGCCGGTCCTTACATATATTTGAGTTTCATATATGTTTAAAGTAGACAATGTTATGATTGCCATAGTCAAGCTAGTTGTTGACATCTGTCACTTCAACTGGTTACCGCTGTGTGTGAGCGTGGTGAGCACACTTACGAGCTGCTCAAGCTTCAAGTGCCGTGTGCAATACCGTATTCTAGCGGCAGTCACCATGCTGTATGTGAGACCTCGAGAACTTACTCGTCTTGCGTAACTGAAACTTTGTACCCTTCAACCAACAGTCACATTTCCTCCTCTCTGTGAGTTGGCCTGGGCTGTGCCCTGGTGGCATTCCCAGATAAACAAAAGCAAAGGGAGTAATTGCCTCTAGACCTTCCCTGCAGGAAATGGTCCAGTAGTCCAACAGGCAAGATGAAAGGACACCATTGCCTGTGCATGGAGTGGGGTGCAGCTGTGCCCCATTGTACCCCACTCTGTGCATA